AGGTTAAAAAAGATATAAATTATTGCCTTTTTTTCATTTTTATTTTTAATTTTGTTTCTTAATGTTTTTCACGATTATATAAATCAACACTGGCTCCACCCTGGTTAATTTTATCTTTGAATGAGGCCCTTAGTGCACAATGGTCCCTTCCTGGCTACCTCTATGAAAGCTGCCTGGCTGGGTGGGCAGGAAAAAAATCCAGTGAAGTTTTAAATATATATAGACAGGCAGTGAGATACAGAAGATACATGTGTTTGTGTAACGGCAGGATGGACTCCAGGTGCCTGGGAGACACTGATGTAATGAAAAGCCTAAAATTCATCTTTCACTGAGAAACTATGCATTCCTGGACTCTTTCTCATACTTTCCATCCACTGGGGCTGTAATGATTGCTTTATAATAGCTGCTGGATCCACTGTAGCATGCCATAGTGCTGAAGAGTTATATCCAATGCGCTGTAATAGAAAGAAAAAAACAACATAGATTTTTATTAGTAATTTTTGGTAGTAAAACAATATTAATGTTGCAAAATAACCGCATAAAACTGAAATTAGATCTGCTGGTTCTAATCAAGACGAGGAGGGAACAGGTTTGCCAAAACACACAATTGTAAAAGAGAACCCAGACAGAGACATTTCCATCCAACTCACGGTTGACTTTTACAGAGACACTCTACCCTTGCACAATCCCCCACTTGGAGTTAGTGTTAACATGCTTTGGCCGACGAAGAAAAGGTTCTCGAATTCCCCCGATTTATAAATACAAGAAAAAAAGATGGCAAAAATGAAAAGTATTGCCTCATGTAGAGAAAGGGTAACTGCTCTTCCTCAGTCTGTGAGCCTAAATGTCCATCACGTGTAAAGACAGAGAGCTGTCTGAAAGAAATGACATAATATCAGGATGAGGGCAGTTGCCCCCCAAAAAAAACATTGATTTGGAATGCTGGAACTGAACAAGCATAGCAAAAAGCAAACCAATTAATCTAAAACTGAATCCAATTAACTCCTGACCGCAATATCAGGACAAGACCTAAAACGATTTCAATTGAATTCTCTGAGATTTATGGTTTTTAGTCCGGTAGTAGTGTTTCTATGCCAAGTAGCAGTTTTTAGCAGATTTAAATTAACACCATCTTTTAAGAAGTAAAAGAAATGTTTCATCTCTTATACTCCATTCCTGTTCTAAAGCTGTGTAGTTTAACCCCACATAATATGGAATTAATTTATTCCATTATTGCCTCAAGTAAGGCCTTGCAACAAGAAGGTTCTAGGTTCGATTCCTGGCCCAGGGTCTTTCTGCAGGGAGTTTGCATCTTCTCTTGTGCTTGCTTGGGTTCTCTCTGTGTACTCTGTCCCGCAGTCCAAAAACATGACAGTTAGCGTAACTGGTTTCTCTAAAGGATGATGATTAAATCTCCCTTTTGACCTGTTGTCCTGACTCCCCCTTGCCGCAGCATGTCAGTTGTACCTCATCAATTTCTAGTTATGATAGGAGCTTCCGTTTGCGGATGTTAGAACACTGAGCTAGGAGTTGTTTCTTTGTCAGTGTCGATGATGGATTCTGAAGCATCCATATATCCCATAATCTCTGCATGTAACCTCTCTCCCTGGGGTTGCTTGTATAGTTGCATTTCACCAGGTCCAAGTTTTCTGCTTTAGTCCATGTATGTCTTGTTCCAGAAGCCCATTTCTCATCAAGTTGCCCTGGTTCCCTAGCAACTGACGCGGCCCTTCCTAACCCGGGCGACGTCGGAGCCGGTATGGTTCTTGTATTTGCGGTTTCACTCATGTACTCTGGGTACTCTCCCACAGTCCAAAAACAATACTGTTAGCTTAGCTGGTTTCTCTAAAGTCTCCTTAAGCCGGGAATACACTGTGCCATTTTTTTTTTTGCCCTTTCCAATCGTGAAGAATTTTTCGATCAGGCCGACTTTCAGCCTGATGGTGCGTGGTATAGTGTACAGGGGGGTAACGAGGGGCGATCAGCCTCTTACGACCACCTCCCCATCAGGAATCGTAATGTATGGAAAAAATCAAACACGTTTGAAATTCTGTTGGACGTCGTAAGATAGTTGTGGGGAAATCACTCAGTGCGCAAACAACGATTCTTCTTCTTCCTCTCAGACGAAAACACAGAAGCATGGCGGGGATGCAATGAGTGAAATAGAGTTCTTTCTGTAAAATTGACAGACCGTAGTAGCCACGTTAGCTCAGCCATGTCTTTGTCAAAATATGTCGTCTCCTTTTCTTTTTAGGGCTTTCAGCACAAAATTGCACAAATTGCCAAGGCAGCGGGTTTCTCTCTAGTAAGCTTCATATACATCTTCTGCTTCTACCATTACCTCATAGTAATGTGTACTAGCAACGGACAATCGGAAATCCAGTGAATAACTGTTAGCAATCCAGTTTGTGTGGGTTGTTTTGTGTTTGTCTCTTCCTCCACCACCAGATGGCACCCTGTCTTCGTTGGCCCTCCTGAACATCTCGTTGGTTCATTACTGGGGAGTATTTGAGCTGTTGACTGCCTCTACCTCGACGCCAGAGTGTTTGCCAGTTTTGGGTACTCTAGCCAAGCC